ATTTCTGATTTCATTTTTCCCAGATCCTCTTTTGTTGCCAGTTCAGAGAGTCCAGGTGGTTGAGTATCATCAGATTGTTCCATCTCGTTTCCCTTTGGAGTTGCTGTAGGTGATCCGGAAGTCTGTTTTTGAGGCTTGTTTACGTGTGTTCTCATTTCCAAGGTGGCAGTGCTTCTGGTGCCCGCGCAGCTCACCTTCTCTGCCCTAGGAGCTTGGGATGGCGGTGGGGGAGCTTCCTTCCGGGTGCTGGGACCGGGTCACCTTCTCTGCCCTAGGAGCATGGGATGGCAGTGGGGGAGCTTCTTTCTCGGTCCTGGGACCGACTCACCTTCTCTGCCCTAGGAGCATCGGAAGGCGGTGGGGGAGCTTCCTTCTGGGTGCTCCCTTTCAATTATTGTTGCTCAGTGTAGAGACTTCGGGATCATATTTGACTCATTTCTTTCTTTCACACCCCATACCCAATTCCCCAGAATATTTGGTTGTTTTAAGTTTTGTAAGATAATAAGAATCTGACCAGTATTCACTGTCTGTGCTCTTGTCATCATCATCTCTTTTCTGGTCTCCCTTGCCCTACGTAGTGTTTTCTCACCACAATGCAGTGACATTTAAGAGGGAAGTCACTGTTTAAATCCTGTAGTGGCTAATTATACTACCTGATTTAAAAAGTTAGCCTAGCCAGGCATGGTGGCACATTCCTGTAATCCCAGCACTTGGGAGGTTGAGGCAGGAGGATCATCTTGAATTTGAGGCCAGCCTGGGCTACATAGTGAGTTCAAAGATAGCTTGAACTATATAGCTAGACTCTTGTCTCAAAAAACCAAACCAAACCAAACCAAACCAAAACAATTTAGGCTATATAACTACAGTAGTCAGAAATATGTGGTGCTTGCAGAGAGATATAATATACACAGATCAGTGGAACAGAAAAAAGAATCCAGAAATAGACTCACACAAATATTTACAAGTATTTTGGACAAAGATGTAAGAAAATTTTATGGAGGAAGGATAGTCTTTTCAACAGATATGTAGTTCTGCAGCAATTCAGCATCAGTGGCCGAAAATTACAAACCTTGACCTAAAAACACATCTTCATAAAAAAGAACTCAAAATGCACCACAGATCCAAACATGGAACTTTTTTGAAGGGGCTAGGATTAGGCAAAGAGTTCTTTTTTTTTCTTTTTGAGCGATCTTTTTTAAAAAATTCTTTTATTGGTACATTTTAGGTATAAAATACATTTACATTTATCATTGGGAACTTGTACCTTTACATGATGTATCTTGGTTCTTACTTTTTCCCCATTCCCCTGCCCTCCCTTAACCCCCTCCATCCTTCCTTATTTACAAAGACTTTGTTTCCATTTTTTCCTTTTCTCATATTTTTTTCTTTCCTTTCTTTCCTTTCCCCTACCCCTCCCACTTCCCCTACCCCTTTGGACCTTTTCTTCCTATTTCACATTATCAGTTATTCATTTTAATCCTTATTTATACTTTCAGTTTCTCACACCAGAGAAACTATTCGTTATTTACACATGTGTGTCCTATTTATTTCACTTAAGAATATGCCCTCAATGTGCATCCATTTAGCTATAAATGTCTCTAGTTCATCATTCTTTACGGCTGAGTAGTACTCCATTTTATTTTTAAAAACCACATTTTCTTTATCCAGTCTCCAGTTGATGGGCACTTGGGCTGTTTCCACACTTTAGCTATTACAAACTGTGCCACTATAAACATGGGTGTGTGTATATGGTTGTGGTATGATTCTTTTTATTCTTTTGGGAAGATACCCAGCAGAGAAATAGCTGGGTCAAATGGGAC